CCCCCCACATACACACGTAGATATGCGTCGGTATGCGCCTACGTGCGAAAACGACGATTGCGCCTATTTTGCCGCACATGTTACATATCGCCGCAAATGTCGGAGTGAGAGCAATAATTCTAGAGCCATCAATCACTGATAACGCTAAACTGATGAGCAGTAAAAGCATTTTAATTGTCGCGTATGGGCGTTTTTTGCGGGCGCACGCAATTTTAAGGCTTGACATGTTTGGTGTCTATTTACACGACGTGACCCCGACTTTTATGTTGTACTAAAAATATGGGTAAGAATAAATGTTTTATAACATAGGGAAACTTTTTTTTTTTTTACATTTAGGGTACTTTTTTCATTATAAAGTAAAAACAAATAACCCCCGTGGGGTCACAAAAGAAAGCTCTATCTGTCCCAAAATTTTTTAACATATATTGCAAGGCTATAGTCTGGTCATGCTGACTGGTGAAATTTGTGACTGACTGGTGAGACACCGCCAAATTTTTCAAGCCCTGCTCATAAGGGATGTATTTGGGCTGCCATTGCTGGTTCTCTTGTAAAAATCCTAGTTGCCTGGCAAGTGCAAATACATCCTAAACCATTTTTTACTTGTGGATGGAGTGGAGAGGGATAAGAACACCTGACAGGTTCTATTGCTGTGTCCCACTAGGGAGATTCACCCACTCTGTTTGTCCTGGTGAATGTTATTTCTGAGAGTGAAAGGTAACAAAAATCTCATTTGGGGTTGTCATCAGAACAAGAATAGATGTAGAGCCTCAGCTGCAGCTAACGATTATTTTCAACATCGATTAGTTAGCCGATTATGGAGTTCGATTAATCGGATATAAAATAAAATTAATTTTAAAAAATGGCTCCAGTGATGGGATTACTAGTTTGTATTGAGATTGTAGTCCATCACAGGAGCAAGCTTGGAGCGGTGGAGATAAAAAAGAAAAAAAAAAGTGTGGTGTGCAACATAGTGAAATGAAAAGTGTAAAATTATACAGAAATGAATGCAGAATGGCACCGGCTATAGAAGACTACAAAACCCAGCAATAGTACATTGTAGCTGGCGGTATTCGGCATTGTGCTGTATAATGTATTATTGCTGGGATTTGTAGTCCTCTATACAGCGCAATGCAGAATACCACCAGCTATAGAGGGATACAACAAATCTCAACAATAGTACGTTATACATACAGTGTATAATGTACTATTGCTGGGATTTGTAGTCCTCTGTATAATATACAGCACAATGTACCGTCGGCTATAGAGGAATACAAATCTCAGCAATACATTATAGAGCACCGGGGGGGGGAGTGCAGGCTTACCTGAGCAGCAACTTGCTTCTGAGATAGGGCCTGTCTATCAGCGATTGTCATCCCCCCACGCCTGCTCCTCCCTTACTTGTTCTCCCCGCGTCCCTGTGCCGATCGTAGATGTGGGAGGGCGGTGAGCGTGAGGTGGAGCGTGGGTGCTGGCGGGTCTGGCAGCGGCGGCCGTGAGGTGGGGAGGAAATGCGGCGTGTGGAGCCGTGGGGAGGAAATGCGGCGTGTGGAGCCGTGAACAGGGCCGACTAACCAGAAGCCGATTAATCGATGATTGAAAAAGTTTAACAACTTTTTCAATCATCGATTATGTTGATTAGTTGTTGCAGCCCTAAATAGATGGTACATCTTCCAATGAGTACACCAGTTCTGGTGACCAAGTGACCACCAGCAATTTCTGTCACTGTTTATAGGTCGGGAATTGAAGGGAAATCTCTCCAGTCTGACACAGATAGCAAAAACCTAACGCGTTATAACCCTCCCTTATGCTAACCAAAACTGAAGTAAGTACCAGAGTAACTCCCAGAGTAAGCAAGCTTTAAATGAGTGTCAGAGCTCCTTTTTTGTATACTGGCTTCAGATCAGCTACGTAGGCAGTATTATTATTATACAGGATTTATATAGCGCCAACAGCGCTTTACAATATAAGGAAGACATTACAGTTACAAGACAAGATGGTAAGGAGTACCCTGCCCGTGAGGGCTTACAATCTAAAAATTAAAGCCAAAGCATCAACATGACAACTAGGGCATTGATGAGGGTTCATTAGTAGCTTCTGCTATTGGGTGACAGCTTGCCAGCTAGTTACTATTCACCACCTGTGGACTGGTCACTGTATTAAAACAGCCAGTCCCCTAGCACATTTTTCCTGGAGTGCATACCTGTATGTCTCCCCATGATTGCGTCTGTGCGTGCGGCCACGGTCATTAAATAGCAGGACTTTTCACACAGAGCCAATCGGACCAGGTCTGTGTCCTGTGATTGGTTATCTCAGCGATCACATGGCAATGTTTACATTGCCAAGACCTCCCCTTCCTCTTATATCAGAGGCAGGGGAGAGTAAAGTGAGTCATCCCTCTGACTTGTATATTAACCCTTTTACCTCCTTTATCCTGCACATATATACATGAACCCCTTCATCTCCATCCTCCTCTGTGACCTGTACATTAACCCCTTCATCCCCTCCTCCCTCTGGCTATGTCCTATACATTTATTGTATCTT